ATCAGGGATAAGAATTAACAACTGTCTGATGCTTTATTGTCTAATACCTGACCTTGCAAGTTGCAACGTGCTTCCAAATGAATGTGACTCGTTTGGTTACATGTTAGTTGAGCTTTTCCCCTTTTTCTCCCCTTTCCAACATGAATGTAACCAAACTTAGGCATTGAAGGAATAGGTTGGCATGTTTGCAGAGTGTAGACAAGCAACTTCATGAGGTGCACTGTTGCTTGCATACCTCTTCAAAATATTCTTCCTAGTCCCAACTATTATTTAAAAATCTTTGAGTCCGTTTGGTTTACAGTCGCACTTGGAATCGGAATTGGAATGGTCTATTCCCATAGTCTGTTTGGTTCAGACAAAAATGAGAATGAGAATTTGAATCAGTAGGAATAAGATTTCATTCCCGAGGAAGGGGAGGGAATGACCATTCCCTCAAATAGGGGAATGTCATTTCACCAAGAATGGGAATGGGGTTCTGATTCCGCCCAACCAAATAGTTGGAATCAGAATAGCCCATTCTAATTCTGATTCCAGACCCCTATTCCTGCGAACCAAACAGGACCTTAACAACTTAGATGTCTTTTGATTTCTTAAGGCTCAGTTTGGAAAAAGTGTAAATACAAATATATACAGTGCAAATACATACAAAATACAAGATTTTGCACTCTACACATTTGTATTTACACTCTTTCCAAACTGAGCCAAATACATACTATACAAAAAAACAAGGTCATGCAGTCTATATACTCCTTCCAAACTGAGCCTAAATACCACAACTCTCTCTTAACCTTTTATATTTGATAGCACCATTTTTGTCCTTCTCTTCAACACTTTGTTAATTTCAGGTAACAAAAGGCATTTGGTCACTTAAAAAGTTTTTTTATCATTAATAAAGTGAAAAAGAAATTGTTATAAATAGGCTCTTTATAGAACAGATTTTTCATTATTCAATTAGGAAGAAAGCATTAATGAAATACCTTTTTTTGGTTTTGTTAATTTAAAGCAATATTACATTGCCTGAAAAGGTAAATGGGCCCTGAACTTGCATTCATGAGTTTGTTGTCCTTACTATAATTTTTAGCCTGTGGGCCGCTATGGACCAATTTTGAAGCTCCAATACGTAAAATCTGGACAGCCCATTCTTGATGGGCCCAACAGACCATGGGGAAATGGCTGGAGTAGTTGAAATTTTGAAATAGAGGAAACATGGACCTGACAGCTTTACACCGCTAGCTATCTCAATTCTTCACCGTGTCCAAATAAAAGAAACTGGAAAGCTGTGTGGCGATTGATGGGCTAAGCCCATATGAGGATTATAATTTTTTAGGGCCATTTGATTCATGGGAATAGGGATTTGAAATCGGAATCGATTGGCCCATTCTGATTTTAACCATTTGATTGGATAAAATCAAAATCTGATTTTCATTCCTGGTGAAATGACATTCCCCTATTTGAGCCTAACGAATGAAATCCCATTTGAGTCGATTTCTATTCCAATTCTAATTTCTGTCTAAAGCAAAGATGTTATAGAAATAGATTATTCCGATTTCAATTCTAAAGGATTTTGATCCCGATTCTAATTTAGATTTCGATTGCAAACCCAAGGGGCCCTTATTCTATTAGTAGTTTGTAGAAGCTTCAATTACTGGATGATTATAAACTTTGATGGGTTAAAGCCGAGATGACGATTGACACAAAGGCCAGGCTTGAGCTGCATATTTCAGCCGGCGGGAATGTATGGTTCTAATTTTAAGGCCCATTAATTACTGGACCAACAAACATGTAACCCTCCAATCACGTTCGTTGAACCACATCGTCTAGGAAACAAAGTATAATGTTAACAGTGTTAACATGGGTTTGGCCGTTCAACCAGACAAAAACCGGCCACCGAACCAGCGGCAACAGCGAGAGCTCCTGCGATAAGTCGTCTTCTTCTTCTTCTCTCTACTGGTCGTGATTGATCAACTACATGCATATTCTCTGACCCTCGATTTTTTATGCCATTCTAAATGTTTAATCATTTCTCTCTTGCCCTTTTTTTTTAATTTATTTATTTTGCTCATGGACTTTGGATCTAGCTAGAAACTCTTGGCTTTCAAACCAATCCCAGGCTTCAACACGCCCTGTTTTAAACCAGAGACAAATTAAAAAGGAAAAGAAAGAAACTGAAAAAACAGTGAGCTTGATTGATTGTAATATATACCTGAGCATCGAGCAAGGGAGTTCCAGCGACCTTCGCCATGGTTGGCAACGTAATTAAGGAGTATGAGATCCTCTTCAACAGTCCATGGACCCCTCCTCAGGTCTATCTCTTCTTCACTTTGAGTTCCGGAGCTACAACTTCTCCCATTAGCATCCATTCCCGAAAATGGAAGAGGTTGATCAACAGAGAAAAATAACTAGTAGTTTGTTTGATTGAGAGTTGAGAGAGGGGGGATACAGAAAGAGAGAGAGGAAGAGAGTAGGGGGATAGAGAAGTGGGGCTTTTTTTATACAGGTAGAAGACAGATGGGATTGAAAAGAATAAATAGATGGCATGTGAGAGAACATATCGCCGGTGGGTGATTTCTGTTGAAAAGAGAACAGAAGAAGCCCCTTGTAAGAAGAAGAAGAAGAAGAGGAGGCCAGGAAATGTATTGCCAAAGTTCTCGCCGTCGCCGCCGATGGCCGATGGCCGCTGGTTCGGATCACTTGCTGTGGTGTGTGGGTAGGGTTCGGTGGTCGGTTTCTGTTCCGTGTTAACACCGTTAACGTTATGCTTCTTTTCCCCTAGATGACGTGGTCGAACGTCACCAGTGAATAAAAGCCCATCCAACCGTCCATTGGAATGCCCTTGGGTTGTGGCATGGCTCTTGCTACACAAGAACATATCTCAGAGAAATGGAGGTAAAACATAAAATATGATTTGGAATCCAAAACACCTATTTGATGGGTTGGTAGTTGCTGGTACTTGGTGGTACCCACCTTGAACTCACATGGACGCATATCACCCCCCCAGCTGTATTTAGTATTTACCTGTTATCAAGCCCAATTCTTTGATAGATTTGGGCTCACAACCCCACATCTTCGGCGAGCCCAGTACTGAAATTTGGGCTCGAGTCTGGATAAAGGCGATTATTGATCTTGATTCTTGAAAAGAAAAATTGAAATACGCTAATTGGATTTAGGCTACTTTTGGGAGTGCATTGAATAAATGTTAATTCTAATAAGTAGTTAAAAGTGTTTGGTGAAAAAGTATTTATTAGAATAAATCTAAAATTTGGACTTGTCAAAAAGTATTTATTCTCATAATAAACACTTGTTTCGGGTTTATGCCTTGGCCTTGAAATAAGAAGACGATTTGATGTAGTATGAACGAGAGACTAGACTACGATAGCATAGGCCAGTGGTGGTTGCAGGATGGAGGGCTGGATTGGATTGTGATAACAACCGCGGTCAACTGGTCAAGAATCAAGTTCAAAATGGGTTTTCATGAAAGAGGTCCGTCTGATTGTCTGAAGAAAAGATAATGAACTCGAAACAGAGCATGTGAGGCGTTTGCACTTGTTTGGTGTGTGCCGTGGTGCATTCCATTCCCAATAAAATTGTAACACGTCACGTTTCAGCTAAAGTGATGGTTTGCTTCTTTTAAAGTAAGAAACAGAAAAAGAATTTTCTTTCTTTTCTAATGCCCTCTCCCTACCCCTTTCTTTCTTCTCTCTTACTCTCTTTCTCCATCCTCTTTGTTCCTCCCTCCATCGTCATCTCTGAACCAACGAACCTGAACAGCCATAACAACAAAGCTACTGAAAGTCCAAGACTGATCAGTTGTTAATTATAATTAGCAAACTGAACTGTACATAGTCAAAATAACAATACAGGTAGCCTAAAACACCTTGATTAACACCTCTATTGTTGAAAAAAAAAATCAAGCAATCTAAAATGTAAAATCCCCCTATTACCAAATTCAAGCGGGTTTTTTTCTCAAGTTAAACAAAAACATATATGAAATACTTGAATAAATATTTTCCACATAGAAATAACCCAAAAGATTATTTATGAATTAATAAGATAGAAATAAAATCTTTAAACCTATTTTGAAAAGAACGGCCAACAATAGATCAAAAAGTTTAAAACATTTATTAAAAACAAAAGAAGACATTACAGAGTAGAACGATCACCAATATCAAAATACAAGTAAACCACAAAAGAACCTCAAATATGAAAAAAATGATTAGAAAAGGAAAAAGAAAAAGAAACCAAGAGTTGAGAAACGAAAATGATGACCTTTGATCCCTACCTAATAGATGCGAAAGGAGCGATGAGACTTCCCAATGCTACTTAACAGTTTTAAATAAAATTCCTGCTGCATGTCAATGCTTGAAGATGAAAGGGCGGTCTACAATCGTTTATGGTGTTTGTGCAGCTCTGAGGTTCGGTCTGCAAAAGAGTTTTTTGCCTTGTTCTCTCCTAACTCTCGAATTGTTTTTTTCTAATTTTTTTTTTTTATTTTATTATTATTACTACTATAAAAGTATAATGGGCTGTTTAAATTTCTCAGACAGGTGAGCTGGAGGGTCCTACAAAGCATGACGTGTTACGATCTCATTGGGAGTACACCCAAACGAGTGCAGGAAATCCGACCTCATTTGTGAGGCGCTGGGAGCAGATGTGAACACGAAAGAGAGCACAGAATTGAAGCTGAAGGTGAAGGGCCGAAGGTTGAAGAAGTAAGTGTCTGCTTGTCCGCTTATCCCCCTCCTCAAACCACCACATTTCAGATTTCACCGTGTGTCCGTGTCAAAAGATGGGAGCATTTAGGTATAGAATGGGGTATTTGACATTTTAAATTTTTATAGGTTTACAATGGAATTCAGGAATTTGCAATGGGCCTGTCCGTATTTTCCGAATTTTTTTATGTTTTTGTTTTGACAAATAACCAGGAAATATCCGCCACAGCCTCACAGGTATCGGAAAATCCGAAGCCTAAAATGTGATTGGCAGTGGTGGTTGATGTGGCTGTCTCAGCGGCCAATAATTACCTTATCCTTCTGCTTTCGACATCCAAACTACACAGTAGGCACTATATATATAAAGCCCATCTAATCTAATCTCCCAAAAGTTCAGACACTCCTCTCGAGCTAGACCATCCCAGCTGGGTTGCCCTTGACAAGCTCACAACACTCTGAACCAAGCACTCGCATCTTCAATCTTTGTGCCCAATGGCTCTCCAGGCAGCTGCTCTTCTTCCATCTGCTCTCTCTGTGCACAAAGAGGTATGTTAGTCATAGACCCATTTGTTAGATGCTTCTTACATTCTTTCTAGGCACCCTCTAAATCATAGTTTTCTGTTTCCTTCTTTAACCCGTCTTGTTTTCTTTCTCTAATCTTGGCAGGGAAAGTCTAATGCATCTCTTAAAGACACAGTGTTCTTTGGGGCTTCTCTCTCAGACCATCTCAAATTTGATTCTAACCCCACAGCGAGAACAAAGGTACAGAGCCCCATTCGCTTCTTTTGATTTCATTGTTTGTTCTGTTGTGTTTGTTTAGACAATGAATTGGTTTTAATTTTTTTTACTGAAGTTCCGAAAGAGGAATGTAAGGTATTGTTTCCTTCCAACTCACCCAAAGTTTGTTTCACAGTATATTGATTTAATCCTCTTAGACAAGTACTTGCGTGTATGTTGTTAATGGACTGCCGCAGTTTCTGAGAACTAATGGTGAATAAATAAATAAGACTTCCTAAAACCAAAACGGTTTAATAGGCCAAAGGATTGTATATTAATCTTTAGTTTGTATGTATAGATAGCTATTTGTGGAAATAAATGAACAGAAGTATGAAATAGTATGCATTGGGTTATGGCTTATAGGAAGTAACTCAATATTATGTCAGTGTTGATTTTAGGGAGGGCACTGGAGACATAATTCATTAAAAATATTTTTTTAATTGTACTATAGAATATTGCATAATGACTATGTCAAAATGCGAGAAAACCATTAATCGTGTTTGGTCCTGAAGAAAACCAGGAAAGAAAAAATATATATAAGCATGTTCTTCCGTTCTCTTCACAAACAAACGCAGTGTTAAATGTAGTTACATGTTATGAACTTTGGATGATCACTGCTATTTCATGCCTGTATTGTTCTTCTCATTTGGACTATAATCCCTTTTGTTCATCAGTTCATGTTTTCAATTGTATTGTTCCTTCTTAGTTGAAGTTTACTCCCTTAGTCTGTTTACTCGTATCGTCGATGAGCTAAACTTGCAGATGGAATTCAGCCAAGGAAAGTTATCAATTGGACCCATCAGAGCCCAGACAGCAGTTACAACTCCATCAATGAACCAGGCTGCACAGGAAGGGAAGAAAACGCTGAGAAAGGGGAATGTGCTAATCACTGGAGCCTCATCAGGTCTGGGACTAGCCACAGCCAAAGCTCTAGCTGAAACAGGGAAGTGGCATGTAATAATGGGCTGCAGAAATTTTCTGAAGGCAGAGAAAGCTGCCAAGGCGGTTGGCATTGCTAAGGAGAACTACACTGTGATGCACCTTGATCTTGCATCCCTCGATAGTGTCCGGCAGTTTGTAGATAACTTCAGGCGATCAGGCAAGCCACTTGATGTGGTAGTCTGCAATGCAGCCGTCTACCTACCCACAGCTAAGGAGCCTACTTTCACTGCTGAAGGGTTTGAACTCAGTGTTGGGACTAACCACCTTGGACATTTCCTTCTCTCTCGTTTGCTGTTGGATGACCTCAAGCAGTCAGACTACCCATCTAGGCGGCTCATTATTGTTGGATCAATTACAGGTTTTTTACCAGGCATCTTTAAAAATTTCTGTCTTTATCAACCATCCAGTGATAACAAATGTACTAAATCTAGTTGTGATTGCTGTGAACTCACAGGGAACACAAACACCTTGGCTGGGAATGTCCCCCCTAAAGCTAACCTTGGAGACCTTAGGGGACTTGCAGGAGGCTTGAATGGAATCAACAGCTCAAGCATGATTGATGGGGGAGAATTTGACGGTGCCAAGGCCTACAAGGACAGCAAAGTCTGCAACATGCTTACCATGCAGGAATTCCACAGGCGTTACCATGAGGAGACTGGAATTGCATTTGCCTCCCTCTACCCTGGTTGCATTGCTACAACTGGTTTATTTAGAGAGCACATCCCCTTGTTTAGGCTCCTCTTCCCTCCCTTCCAAAAGTACATCACAAAGGGCTATGTCTCAGAAGAAGAAGCAGGCAAAAGGCTTGCACAGGTCAGGAGAACATCCAAAAATAATAAGTACAAATTTACAAATACAGTTAACCATGATATGTGCACTCAGTAGCTGTGTTTTTGATTCAGGTGGTGAGTGATCCAAGTCTGACCAAGTCAGGTGTATACTGGAGCTGGAACAAGGACTCGGCCTCCTTTGAGAACCAGCTCTCACAAGAAGCTAGCAATGCAGACAAGGCGCGCAAGGTGTGGGAGATCAGTGAGAAGCTTGTTGGTTTGGCTTGAATGAGCACCCAAAGAAATGGTTCTTACTGCTGGCATATATTTGCCATGGAATAGGAGATCAAGAAACATCTGGGTACAAAATGAGTTATCCACCCCCAGGGTTTGGATGTTTTGCTGTTGTTGTACGTGCAGCCTCCTTGTATACAATTAGAAAATCTTGAGTTACTTGGAGAAAATAAAATTAGTTATTCATTCTACAAAAGGTGGAAGCATCAAGCACCCTGAATCAAAAAGGAAACTAAATCACTTGATTCTTGAACCACTTTCGCTAAAGATACAAACTTCCATATGGATCGAAACAAACTCTAACTTGATTCTTGAACCACTTTACCTCAAGATACAAATTCAATAGAAGGAATTTCCAAATTCTCGTCCATGGAAGAGTTGCAGAATGAGCAACTACTGGAAACAGGTCCAGGAGCCTTTACCAAGTGTGCCCCAATAGTTCACACATTTAATGAACTACTGAAGTATTTGTTTCTTATGTGCTTATGGCTTATTTGTAGTCATTTAAAAAACTCTTATTTATTTGAGTTTTCATAGCCCATTCATACGCATCTTACTTTTCCCACTATATCCATGCATATCCAAAGGGCACCTTAATGTCTCTTCAAATTCCATTTCTGCTACCAGCAAAAAACATGTGAATACAGTGACGGCAGGACATCCAACTGCACATCAGGAACATCTTCCCAATGAACAACGAGATGTTACCAATGAGTGGCTGGATGCCATGATGTCAATGTAGTAACATGCTTTTGCTGACGCCTGGCAGCAGATCCGTTCCCATTCCATTTCCAATACTTCGAACTTTGGGCTCAGATGAGATCAGCACCAGTAAAAGTAAAGCCCCTAAGCACGCATGTTAATAATCTCACCATTGTTGGATAAAATGTAATGGCCCAAGGTAGGCAAAGATCCCATTGTAAGACTCGAGGTTTAAAATATCAACACCCATGACACTAAAAAACTGCATACCAATAGGTCGATTGATATTTACAGATACGCTTATTTGGGTTATTAGTATTAACAATTCAAACTGTTAATATCTCCTAGCTCTTAATATTTCAAATTTCAGTGATCTTTGATACCAATATGATACATATAATAAAATGCGATACATATCAATACTTTAAACTTTGTTAAGACTCGAAATCGGCTTCAGTCAGAGCAAAATCCGTTCGAACAGCTTTCATAGCCTTGCATCGGGTATATCTCTGTACTTCTATGCTTTATTTCATTAGGAGATATTTCCAATGCAAGGCTATGATAGCTGTTCGAATGAACTTGCTCTGACTGAATCCTATTTCGTAAGACTCGGACCTAATCAAATCAGATCATAAAAATCTGGAACTAATGGCTATTTTTGTTTTTTTTTTTTTTTTCTCTATAACACCAGTCTTTTGAAGTTTCTAGAATATTGACTGATCCATCAGAAACCTGTGAGAATAATTGAAAACCATCTGAATTTCAAAAACTCAACCTTTTTTCAATGACCCACCCAAATGCTGCTTTATCACAAACATAAAATGACAATAACAAGGTTCGAACATCCTAATGAAAAATAACACATTACCATTGATCCACCATGCTATTTGTGTTTGTTTTCTCTTTTATGTCTATACTGATTCAATTTTAAGGAAAAAAAAATGAAGTAACGATGACTCACCAAAGCGACAGCAGGACATCCATCCATACATCGGGAACATCTCCCTAATGTCCCCAATAAATAGGATGTTCATTGAGTAACTGGGTGCTACGCTGTCAATGTATAAACATGCTTTTGCTGGTGCCTAGCAGTAGATCCATTCCCATTACATTTCCAATACATTGCTTTATATAACAGACAGAATAAAAAAGAAAACAAACAAAGCTAGACCCAGCGAGGGAGAGCTCTACATTTCCAATACTTTGAACTTGCCTAGATGACATAAGCACCAGTAAAAGCAAAGCCCCTAAGCATGCATATTAATAATTACACTATTGTTGGATACAATGTAGTAAACAAACTCTTCCGACAAGAAATTAGAAATGCAAGTGCTCAAGCTAGGCAATAGAGATTACTCTTATAGAGATTTCTATTGTAAGATTCAAGGTTTAAAATATCAATATGCGTGCAGTGATATCAATGGACTGGTTTTGGATTGGACCCCGTTCAAACCAAAATCAATTTGAACGGATTGGATGGACCAATAAGACATATTGAATTAAACCAGTCCAGAGTCTCCAGACTAAATGATTCAAAAATATTTATTAGATTGGATTGGACCTGGTCCATCCATATTGAATTTATATTGGATTGGGTTGGATTGAGCCAATATTTGGTCCATTGATAGAAGTTAAGAATATAGGTGTCAATGGACCAGGTTTGGGTTAGAATTAATCTAAATTCTAACAAATTTGAACAGATTGGACGGTCAAGACATTGAATTGGACCGGTCTAAAATGGTCCACAATATTTATTGGATTGGATTGGACCCGGTCCATTTGTAATGGACTCATTTTGGATTGAATGAGATTGGACCAAATCCGGTCCAATTGACACCCCTACACGTGTGAAAGAAAAAATTGCATATCAATAGGTCACTCTTTTTTATTATTTTTTAATTTAATATTTATAGATGCACTTATTAGGGATGATATTAACAATTCAAACTGTTAATATTCCCTAACTCCTAGGCCCTGTACATTTGAGAGCAAGTTTGGGAGAAAAGTTGGTCAATAGAAAAGTTGATCAACTTTCCCATGTTGTTTTACTAGTGAAATGTGGGTTTCATGGAAATAAAATTTTCCCTTGAATAAGTTTTTGGCAGGGAAAGTTTTACCCACCTAGGAGATAGGTGGGTAAATTACCTTAGTCATGGAAAGGAAAATTGACCAAACTTTGTATGAGTGGTACGACTAATGTCTTTACTAGAATTAAAAAAAAAAAAAAACTAGAGGTCCTTTAGAAAATTTACTCACTTACTTATCTGACAAAAAAAAGGCAAATGTACTTACATGTTAATGTTTTCACAGGTAACACTTATCCGAATAAATACATTTACCCAAGTTAAATGAATAGTGCCTTAATATTTCAAATTTCAGTGATTTTTTATACCAATATGATACACAAGATGCAATATGATGCATATCGTGTTAGACAGTGTATGCCCTTAGCTCCAATCAGAATGATGTACATTATGACATTTAATGTAAATAAATAAAGTACATATTTGATTCATGTTATCATGGTGTGTTTCTGTGTAATACCCTTAAACTGGACACGTATGAAACCCGTGTTAGTTTAAAATCTTCACAGCCGTTGGATAGATCTGGGGAGATTTATCCTGCCAAGGCTGACACTAATGTGTCGCCAAGTTGGTTGGGGTAGCTTGTCTCAGCTGTCAGGGTGAGACCTGAGGTGCATGCAGTGTGGGTTTTCTTGAAACCCTGAACTAGACCAGAATTCTAGTATTGCCCTAGACCTTGGAGATAGATAGGCAAAACTGGAATGTTACACCTGACCCCTAGACTCGATTATGATTAGGTGTCGGATTGGGCTGTCTTTGATATGCCAATCGGTGATATCCTTAGAAGGGGTCAAAACCTGGGTATGTTGAGACAGTCCGAAAATTCAACTGAGTGGGTGATCATAATGACAGGATCAGCCCCTTTATCGGACAAAGTGAAAGATCAGGGATGCACTCTCTCTGATGGAAACTAAATCTGCCGGTAGCCGATTTCAACCGTTGAAATTTGTTTTGCAAAATATATTTATATAGAGATATACATATATATTATGGTTTCAAAATGTTTGCAAAAGGTTTTAATTCCGGGGATCCATGTGAGTAGAGAGTGCAGCACTGTTCCTTGCAGCCAAGGGAGATGTCTTCTCTTGTCAGACAGTGTTTGATCATTATGAACTGAGAGGTTAAGTGTAAGACCATTGAGGGTAATACCTGATGGGCCCATTAAGAGCTGACTTGACCCAATGACCACTTAGTGTAAGTGTTGGGCCCATTAAGAGCCCATGGTGATGGGCTTAAGGTTCATTGTTTCCTACAGTGAATTCAGCCAAGCCTTGTAACAGAGGTTGGGATGAACCCATGTGGCTGATGTGTAGATCAATGTTTGGGTCCCACACCATACAAGGATACCCAACTGAACAGCAGTTTTGAGGATATGTGAGCACATGAAATTAATGGGCCTAAAGCCCAATTCGAACTGGTATAATATGATTATTTAAAGAAAGGGCGGTTCTGGGATTTAGATCAACAGATAGGATAGGGAGTTATCCCTATCCACTCAGAGAGTCCAGATCCAAATAAAGATTTGGATTAGGAAACTCCTAATAAGATTAGGAGGGCTGATCTTTATCTGTAGATAAGATAAGGATTTATCCTTATCTCTTAAAGAGAGTCCAGATCCAAATAAGATTTGGATTAGGAAACTCCTAATGGGATTAGAAGAAGCTCTCTTTAAGGCTATAAATAGAGGAGGGTGAACCCTTCTACACCCAATCAGATTACTGATACGAGAGAAGACAGTTGCAGTTGGACTGACGCCATCTTTTGCTCTTGCCTTCTCCTCTTGCTACCGCCATAGCCAGTTCAATCTCCACCTGTAGGAGCGATCAAGAAGCGTTCTTGATATCAGTTTTTGGTGAAAAACTGATCTGAAGTCGTGCTCACTCACCCTCCATCGAATTTTTGCTGAAGAGTTTGGTTCTTGCTAAAGAACCACCTGCTGAATTTGCTCCACCCTACGCTGTGTCATCTTCAGTGGGAGCAGTCTTTGGCGTTTTCCTTGGGTGTGAACACCTTCGTTGAGAGTTATTGTTACTCCGCATCAGGTACATCCCTATCCTTCCTTTTGGTTTTAGATCTGGTCTGTTTTAGGGTTCAAGATTGATCCTTGAAAATGCGGTTTTCTAAAACAGGGAATGTAATTCCCATATGGGAGAGTGAAATTTTTGAAATTTCACCCTACCTACTTGCAGGGTTCAGCTATCCATATGATGGATCTCTCATCCATTCATATCTATACTTTAAACCTAGACCTGATTAGATGGTCTAATCATAAAAATCAGGAACTAATGGCTATTTTTGTTTTTCTTTTAACACCCAACAGTTATTCAAGTTTCTAATAAATCGATTGATCCATCAGAAACCCATAAGAATCATTGAAAACCATCTGGATTTCAAAAACTCAACCAGTTTT